TAATAATGATAATGATAATAATGATAATAATAATAATGATAATAATAATTTCGGTGCTACTGGTATCCAGCAAATCACTGGATATACTACTTTTACGGGGAATTGGTTGTAACATGCTGCTCTCAAGTTTGCATGCTGTTTAAGCTTATTCCTACTTTGTGACGCCTTGAGAATAACCAGTTAAAGTGCCACGCAGATTATTTAGAAACTGTTTAGTGTAAAAAAAATTGCGTTATTTCAATTTTTTCCATTCTTCTGGTCCTTGATCAGGTATGCTAAACTTGAATTATGTCGAAGGAATTGCATGAGTTTTCTCGAGGTGGCTGAAATAATAGACCAACAGGATTGTACGCAGGCCATGTGTAAGGTGATATTTAATGGTGCAAACTGCCTTTATCTTTTAGATGTAGTGGGGTGATATTTTTCGATACAGTCTGTGTTTAATCCCTTAGCTGTAAACACAGACCAGGCTATGCATGCGGGTAGGAGTGGGAATCGTCAGTACAGCCTCCTACCCACCATGTATTGAAAGGACATGTAACTAATTTGCTAGAAGAATGAGTGAAAGGAAAAGATAGAGGAAGTAAGAAGGAGAGAGATATTTAATATCATGAAAGAAGTAGGAGTGATAGAGCAGGTGAAAGAGGAGGAAACTAACGTATGATAAGGATAGTAATTCTATGAAGTTATGAGGAGACTCATATGAACTTATATGGATATAAAATCAGTGGTTCCTGTAATAATACCATTATCATTTATTCACATTTTGCATTTATCCCTTGAATTATCGCTTTAATATTACAGATGGAAGATCGTATGCATCACTGAGCAAAAAGGATATACGCCGTGTACAGGTTTTCTTTTTGTTTTTTTTTAAACAAATTCATAACGATTTTTGCATTATGGGAATTCTTGTAACAGTTTTTGATAAGTTTCAGAAATTAGCAGAGAAAATCCTACGACAGAAGGAACAAGATCGTTCTCGTGCTGCGCAACACCTGCAACGTGAGTTGGAGGAAATTGAGGTGCGAAAATCAGAAGTGGAAGCGGTTGCTGGTGATTTGGAAAAACGACTGCGTATTGGTAATTTTTCAGGATTTTCTGTGGATTTCTAGGGGTTTTTTGTGAATTTTCGAGTTCTCTGTTCGTTTTTTTTTTTTTTCGCAAATTAGGCTTGACAGAGCTAAATATAAATCTGTTCTAAAAACTGAAGCACCTGGTTTTGACCTCAGCTCAAATAGTAGCTGTTTCATGAAGTAAAATCAATTTTTGCTTAAAGCTGTCGATGTTTCTCTCTTTTGAGAATTGGATGAAAATAAATAGAGGGATTTCTTTAGCGTTTTTTTTAGTCTCTCGCCTCGGAAAATATTTATTTTTCGGATCTCCAATACTTTCCGGCTAACAAACGCCAAAAAATCTTTACAGATGCCGAGAATGTATGGATTCTGGAGCAATGGTTGCTCTATGTAGAGGAGATGAATCAGTTGAAGCAGCGTGAAAATGAGCTAAAACTTCAAGTACGTGAATTTGAAGTGAACGAAGAGTACCGAAATCTTCAACAAAAGCTCAAGGAAATCCAGTCTGCCGATGCTAATACCGATACGACGAACAGCGAGGTAAATAAGACTACGTGTGTGATGTTAGAATGGGGAAGAGATCCTCATTAAAATCGACTCCCTGAGAAAACTTGTATTTTTAAGTTTATTTTAAAATTTTAAAGTTTTTTTTCTTGCTCTTGCTTTTTAAAATTTACTTTTAACGGTTTGGCTTTCTCACTCTCCCTGTTCCCTCACTGGTTTTCCTTTCATTCGCATATCTCTCCTGCAAATTAGCCACATGACCACCGTTCAGAACATAGCGAGTAGGAGGCTGTACTGATGATTCCCGCTCCTATCCGCACACACTGCTCGGTCTGTGTTTACAGCTAAGGGGTCAAACACTGTCTGACTACATTATAAAATGTCCGTCGGCACATGACACTTTAAGACCAGTCCTTCCAATTTTACTATTTCCGGAGAACTTCATATTGCTGATTCTGTCACTTACCTGTACATCAGTTTTACTCTGCAATTGTGGGTGGTTTTGATTTCCATTAACGGTAATTCTTTAAATGTCGTGTAGTAGATTAGATAATGACTAATGGTTTTTTGTTAAAAGTAGGTTAAAGAACAGTTGCGTTACTATAACGCAATACCCCTGTCCTTGGTTCAAACTTTGACCACCCTACCCTCATTGAACTTTCGGTCTTTGTCCCCTGTGGTATAAAAGCACTTTTCCCCATTGCCGGGATCGCCACTACCCATCCACCACTGCGACCTATTTTTATGCGTTTTTTGCAGCAATGCAATGCGAAAAACGCATATTGACGAGAGGTTGTCTG